TAGCACAAATATCCCTACTGTCATAGATCTTAATTGGGTTGAGGAATGAATTTTAAGTCATATTCTTTCTGTTTATTATACTTATAATACTGTAGATGGACCAATTCGAACTTTATCTTGCCTTAAATCTTTTCACAACACTCATTTGTCTTGTGTCATCCTTGGTCTTCATAATGCAATTTCTTTAGTTAAGTTCTCAAACCACCAACTGAAAGACTTTCCTGGATTCTATCAAAGTAAATGTGGCTGAATATATATGCACACCATATTTATCAAATGCAAAATGTTTATCAAAGCTGTTTTTGCCAGCTCCCTTCAGGGGTTGCATAACTGTTTACAAGGCTATTGTTGTTTGATTTATGATAGCAGGGTTCCCCAAACCTCATTGTCTATGCTTTTAGATTTAAGGTTAGGTCTTAGGTTTAAGAAAATATATGGTCAGTTCTGAAATCACAATGCCTTAACCGTTTATTTGGGATGCTTGCTAAGCGGCATTTGCAATATTTTTTTATATTCTCCACTGCAGTTGCAAACTGCAAATAATTTTAAATAGTAAATCATAATCATCAACCTTTGAAATGATGCTTCAACAATTACAAATCTTTGTTGTTTTTTAAGAGGAAATTTATCATCATACCAGAAACTGTTTCTGATCCATTTATTAAAACTAACTTTATAACATTTATGCTTTGCCATCAAAACAGAAAAGGTATTTTACTTCTAAGGTAGCAATCTTTACTTTTTACTTATAGAGTGCCCTTCTGGATCATTAAAAGTAATACATAAACTCGACGGTACTGGTAACAATTGGATTTATAAACCAAAGCCTGCACATGGATTTTATGAGTGCATGCTTAGTTATTTGTTGCAAACCTGTTTAAGAACACTCCAAAGAGTTTGTTTGCTATTTTCCACATCTGCAAACACATTTATATTTGTGCAGTCATTTGCAAATATTAAATAAATAATGTGATAAGGTGCACCTGTAAATTCTGAACTAATCTGGAACAGTATAATGAATCAGTTTTGTGTAAAAAAAGGGAAAATAAAAAGGAGAGCACATTGAATTTATCCACTGAAACAAGTTTATTTTCTAGCTCATAGCTTAGTTGTTAGCTCATCAATCATCAAGTGGGTGCTCAATAACATGTTTGTGAGTGCATGAAGTGTTGAGTCGAGGCCTCTGTGAGGGTGTACCGTAAGTGGACCTGTTAATGCGGTTGTGAATGCAGTGATCTGATTTTGAAATCTCTGTACTGAAAAAAAATAAATAAATAAAAACAAAAAATAGTGAGATAGATATAAAAATCAGAATAGAGCTAAATCTATTGGAGTAAATTTCAAAGGTAAGCACATCTACAGATATATTTTTTGTAAAAGTCACAAAATAAATTTTTGTGAATAAATAAATGTTAATGTCAGACAACAATAAGGACAACAAGTCTAAACAGGACAATGCTGAATATTGCTTAAACGATTTATTTTGACTTCAGTTAAGTTTTTAGATGTCAATTTTCATGCTTACTAGAGCGAAACTGTAGATTTAAAGACTGAAGCTAAGGCTAAGAAATTAGACTTAAGCCTCTTAGGGCCTCCATCTGTATTGAGGAAAGCAATTTTTTTGTTACTACAACTCAAATATCTTGTATGCAATGTTTCTTATTTGTATTTCAGAAGGTTTATTATAGACGGTATTTTCAAACAGTGATAAATTGTGCTTGGTGGATGACATTTATAGCTCCTCCGCTTCCCTGTCATTAGCAAATTAGGTTTAGAGGCTGAGATGATCCGAAAAGACCTGGCAAGTATTCAGCTCATCACAATGTAGCCCTGAAGAATGAGTCTCATCATCATTGGAAATGAGCCTGTCTAACACATCTTTTACTTGCTTAACTCAATTTTTCATCTCCTCTTGCAACTGCAGGCGAGGGCTCGTGAGGTAAATACATCCTTCTTCCTGATTATGCAGACTTAAAAAAATCAAATCATATAAAACCCTTATTAAGTTTTAGATTTTTTTCATTTAAAATAATAATACAAATTCTAAAGCTACAACTGAGCTTTGGAATGTGATCAAATAAATAATTAAAAGGTAGCCAGATATAGGAGGATATATGCAGCATACCAACAAGACTTTGCTGTTCTCTCATTCAATAAGTCTGCTGAAGGAGGACACAAAGATAGCAATGTCTGAAAGAAAAAAAAAATGTCCCTTCTTTTTACTTCCTAAAGCCTTTCTAAACCTTGCAAAGATGCTGCCATGCATCAAGTAATAGTTTATAAGAAGAAAAAAACTCCAATGAAGAGAAGTAAGCTCTTTTATGACTTTTCACTCTGCTACTGCACTATTAAACTGGCAAAAACTGAAGACAAAGATCAAGGACAATGAAAACTAAAACTACCCTATATGTATTCAGTCCAGTTCTACTTATTTCAAATTATTTCATATACTTTTATACATAAACATGGGATGCTAAATATGTATTATTTCTTTTCCTGTAACAAAGTGTTTGGTTTTTAATCAACCCGTTATTTGTCATGTGATAATGCAATTTTCTAGGCTGAAATTAAACTAAATCGTACATCCTTATCCACTAATACTGAACTTCATCAGTCCCATATTAGCCAGTCGATACTTGAATGCAAGCTTTGGAAATGTGCAAGACTGAAATAGACCTAGATACATTATAACAAGCGGATTTTCTACATGACAACAAAAATCCCATTTTATTCTATCCTGATAGTGACAAAACACCTGGATCCCTTGCTCTAATAATAGCAATTAATCAGGTTGTAGTTTCCTCTAAACCCTGCTGGATCATACCAATTTGAAGATCACCAAAATGTTAGGGATGATTAGCAGTATCCCTGATCGTATTCAGCTCCTGATAGCCTACCTGCTCCTTTCATTCTCTGTGATTTTGTTAAATACACCTCCAGTGAGCCGTTAGGCTGGGTTTTGTGCAGCCAATTTTTTACCAATCACAGCCCATTTTAGTGTGCATGACTTGCACACTAAATTCAAGCCTGTGCGAGTTGTTTTGTTGATAAAACAGATCTGTTTTTTTTTCCAGCATTGTACTAAAAAAGATCAGAGTAAATACATTTTCTTTTCTTTATATTCTACTTAATGGGCTCTAGTAGTTTATATTTTCTTGGTGCATTAATCTGCTCATTCATATATGTCAAGCAAAAAGCTTTATTTTTCTTTATTTTTATAGTGACACATAATTAAGAAATAATTAAGAAATGTTTTTTTCCCCCCTCGTTTTTTCTTTTGCTTTAGTCGAGTCACAAACTAATATTTTAAAGTATTAATCTAATTTTAATATCTAACAAAACAATTCCTTGAAAATTAATGAATTAATTTAACATAGTTGTGTAGTCAAGAAAGTTTCTATATTTAAGTCTGATAAAATTAAGTATGCTTATAAAACAAAACAAAAAAGTAATAAAAAAAAAGGAACCCACACATTATGCCCTAGTGTGAGAAAAGACAATGCTGACACCTATTTAAAAGAGGGTTAAGGAGCATTTTTTAATGCTCAGTGACTCCATGGATCCACATATTCGTTGCATGGATCCAAATTTCGTTGTTCTTGTGACAATGACAATAAAGATAAATTGAAATTGAAATTGAAAAATATGCCCGATTTGCACTACTCCTTTGAAATTCTTGCCGATTTTGGACCCAGCTTGAATCAGTTAACTGTGCTGAGCTTGGTTCTTAGACCGTTTACACATCTGGCTAGCACGGTTCCTCACCTCCTCAGTGGTCCACGACACTACAGCTCTCAAGGTGGGAATTACGCAAACAAAAATGGAGTTGACCATAACATTCAGGAAGTTATCTGCCTGGATAGTGTATTCCAGCCAGGTTTCGATGAGAGCCTCGCTCTAGGCATCATCCCATTTATGGATGCCTTTTATTGTTAATAGGCTGAGAAGAAGTTTGTGTTGTGAACAGGTGAAGAGATCTGTGATATGTAAAGCCGGACGCGCCAGAAAACCCGCAAAATGAGTCAACTGGCTGTAAATAGGAGATAACGCCGTCTGCTCATGCACTCTTAGTTATCAGAGATCCGAGCCACAACTGAACCGCGCCAAGCCTACTGCTGAACTAGTACTGGATTTATTGCGGTTAGTTTGCCTGGCACAGTCCAGTTCAGCTGCTTTCCATTTAGACTTAGCGGTTACCTTGGTTACCATTCTCGGCACGGTTTCAAAAGGGTAGTGCATGGGGCTATATTAACCATAGACGGAGAAAATAAGGAACAGTGGTAAAACTTCCCAAAAACCACTTAATCGTGAGAAAGACTCTAAGGGCCTGATCTTTAGAAGGTTTACATGTCATAAAATGGCATATTTATGAAGGCACCAGACCATGCAATAAAATGTAAAAATTTACCACAAGCAAATTGAATTTCCAAATCTGAAACTCACATTGGTAATTTATTTATATATTTATTTTTTACATTTTTTTAGTATTTCTGAAAGTGAGGTGACAACTGCAAAGGAAGAAATGCATACGTGGAGATATTCCGTGTGCATATAAATGCATTTGGATCGTGAATAATAACAACAATAGAATATTACCAATAAAGAAAATAACATCTATGTAGGGCAGCAAAAATTATTAACTAGCAGAAATTTTTGTACTACTAAACCAGATTTAAAGAAAAATACTGAACCTAGATGTTGGTGCATATTTATAAAAACAGGATATCAATGGAGCAATACTATGAGGTGCAAAGTAAATATTATTTATTATTCTTTTAATAGTTATTAGTATTTCCTCCATATTCTAGGCTTTAAACCACATCTTTCTTTGACAGCCATTCTCATTTACGAACATTTACGCAGCAATATTTGTAGAAATTCTGCAACACGCCCAATTAGTGCTTCTGATTTGATATCTTTGAGATCAGGCCCTAAGAGTGCACTCCTCCAAAAGATCAAAAAAAGGACTTTGAGCAATATATAAACATTGCTGGCCTGACTCTCCTTGGTAAAAGCAAGTGTTAATAATTCTACAACAAGAAATAGACTGGTGAAAGACAGCAAACATGTCAGCAGTCGAAGGTTAAATCCACTGATCACTGTAAAAAAAAAAAGGTCCAACTTCATAAACGGTGCATCCTAATGTATTGCATCAGTCGTATTATCAAATAATGTAATCATTTAAATGTTTGTATTTCCTTGAGCATCATTATGTTTGATGACCTGAAACACCTAAGCATGACAAAGAAGCAAGAGAGAAAACTATCAACACGTCAGAATCTAATTGCTATTTTAAAAGGTGTAGTTCAAATATAACATGTCAGATGGAAAAAGTAGCACATTAGTGTCAATCATTTTGATACATGACTACATGATAAAAGTGAAATGACATAACAATGCCTGATTCATTGATGAAATACAGAAAACCTGATTATTGCTGCTTAAACACAGCTTAGTTTGAATTTCAATTTCACAAAATAATTGTTTTGTTAAATTCCCTACATTGACCGTCAAACATCTTCTATGAGATTCTGAAATTTGTTGCCTACATCGCCTAAAACACTTTTGCCATAAAAGAAAAAAAAATGCTTACCAATAATCAGCTTTTTTTTTTTCATTTCTACTTTCCATGTGCTAGTTAAAGATATATGACTCTTGACTTCTCCGATAAATAACCCCTGATACAGTATAAATCAATTAAGCACTAAAAAACATGACTTTTTAATCATAGACATAAAGAATTCAGTTTAGTACCCACCATATACAAACAGAATATACTCAGCAAAGCTGGTCCCCATATGGTTGCTGGCCTCACAGCGATATGTGCCATTGTCTGTTTTGTTGAGTGTCGTGATGGTGAGCTCTCTGCCCTCCACAATCATACGCTCAATGTCTGGCAGCTCTCCTCCATCTTTAGACCAGAGCACTGGTTCGGGTCTGGGAAAGAAAACACAAGAAAATCGTGTTATTTTTTCTTATTTTTCAAAGTTATTTTGGAATAGATCAAAGTGCAGTCGTGAATCCAACTTACATTGGGTTGCCTATGGAAACACACTCCAGTTTGAAGTATTGTCCTTCCTGTGGAATTATCAGTGAATGTGTGATTTCCAGTTGTGGAGCATCTGCAAAAAATTTATAAATTAATAAAAGCAGTATTGTAACACCTATGTGTGCAAGAAATTAACACCAAAAATAATGCAAAGGTAGTTAGCTCTTTAACCTATAGGAAGCTTAAAGGTATTGTGGAGGATTTTCGTAAATTATTTTAAAAGACCTGATTTCTCCACGCCTGCGAGAGCATGCATTAGCCAATTTCTTCTTGTGCAAGCTCTGTTTAAAAGTTCTCTGCAGTTCTCAAAGCTCATACAAGCTTACTGTGCTTGAAAGTCCGCCATAACCCCTAAATCCCTCAGTCACTATATAGAGCGGGGAGTCTATAGTGGACCTAATAGTGAACTCAGTAACCTTACGGTTCAGACACTGATCACTGATGATCACTGCTTTTAGCTCTATTGGTCACGTAACTCCTCCCCCACTGCGCGGTGCCTGCGCCCTCTTTGTCGCTGCTCTCAGGTTGAGACAGCGTATGGCGACAGCGTATCGCTGTGACAGCAAATCCCATACTGCTTTGTGAGGAGAGCTCTCTGCACAAAGCATTCTGGGATATATCTACCTCTTCTGAGACCTTTCTTTTCTTTTCATATACTTCGTAGACACTTTTTCTGTTACGAACCTCGACCATTGTCAAAGAACCGTGGTAACAAAGATGAGCTTCAATGACTGTCTGAAAGCATAGCTCAGCACAGATTTACACCTGAAAGTGCGCATGCACAGAAAAAAATAGCCAACGGGCGAGCACATAGGACTGCCTAACGTAAACATATCACCAGAAAATTGACAATTAAGAGGACCACTTATTTAGATGATCCACCCAGAAATAAAAGATTGTCCTCTATACCTTTACGCTCTAGTATGTATTCATGTACATTTGTTGTACTTTTGTAATACCTTACCTGCCAACTAATCCTATACTAATCTATAACAAATGCAGGGCTACGCATGCAGACATAAATTTAAGCTCCTTTATTAGTTTGTTTGTATTCCTTTTCAATGGCCAGACTTAATCATTCTTTATCAATGATAAAACTTACAATGAACCTCCAGGACCTCAGTTGTCATGTACGGTTTGTACAGAGACACATGTTCCACACTGCAGGTGTATGCGACTCCATCATCCCGTTTGTCCACTTGAAACAAGAGGCTGCTTCTTACTGTGAAGGATTTTCCTGTAGCATTGACCTCTGTAGTTCCTAGAGTAAGGTAAAATGAATGCAGATTAGATAGAAAATGTATTTTCAAAAAATTGTTGTCAACTTAAGTTTATATTACATTACAGCACTTTGCAAACCTTTGCTATACAAAATAAATGGTCCTACATCTATTCACTCAAAAAAACATTTTTTATTTTGAGTATTATGCATGAGAAGCAAACACATAACAGCACAAGGTCTGTCTTTATGTTTAGGTTCTTTATTGAGCAGAAAGGTAAACCTCTAACTCTTTACAGGTTTTATTCAAGAATTCTCATGTCTGAAGCTTCTTATTTGTTCCCATTCAACTGTTAACAACTTATCTTTCCCTAGTGAAGAAAATAACCCCCACAACATGATGCTGCCGCCATCATGCATCAAAAGTGGTATGTTAGGTAGTTCACATATTTAACTTTTTTACTCATTGCCACATAGCTAAACTACTCTAAGCAAATATATTTAAGATTGAGGTTGTGCTGTTAAAAAATAAACAACTGATGGGCCAACAAAATGTTTCTTGTTAATTTTTAAAAGGAGGAATATCAAATTCTATTTGAAAAATGTCAGTTGTGGAAAAGAACGCTGAACAGTGTTATTTTCCCCTGTATCTCCCTTGAGGGAGACAATCTTTGGCCTTTGAAAGCTGAGGCAAGGAAGAGAGAATAGAGAAGAGAGAGCAATGTGAGCGTTGACTCGGTTGGTTGAGCGTGTTTGCTCCACCAGGACCATCTCTCAAACATCCCACTCAAACAAAAACACACACTTCACCCTGAAGACCGAGGGGAATTTTTGCCGTTGTTACACTTTCACTTAGTCTTCTCTATTGTTTTTAGTTTCATTTGCAAATTATCCTTTCTCCTTTTATTTGCTTTGTTTGACTTATGATATTTTCATTGATTTATAAATCAAATATTAACATTTTAAAACACTTTTGTGTTGTTTCTTTTATAGACTCCAGATAGCACTTGATCTAGTACTGACAGTTTTCAAAAAACAAAGAAATTACAAAAAGTAGCCTACAGGGTACTTATTAGTTAGTATAGTATAGTACATGTCTTAGGATTTTCTTTAGTTTATTAAGTGCTTAAACATTTTTTAAGTAAAACTCATAGAAATACCAGTATAATTTGGTCTAAAATGCTCCAATTGTTCAACTTTCTGTGTTCTTTCTGTTTTGGCCATGAGTAGTCATTTGTACATTTACTAGCAGTTATTATGAGAAGCTGCAACTGTTAATTTTTTTTGTAAATCATTGGACGCAAGTCTCAATTGCTCAAAAATGTCTTTAAGGGAATCAGATATACAGTAAGCCTACTCCAATTTTTTTAAATAAAACAAAATGCTTTATTATCATTTAAGATAAAACATTACCATAATATGTAATTTCCCTTTTCATTTTAAAAAATGCCTTCAACTTACAGACTCATTTTTATCACTTACTAATAACCTAAAAAAAAATCATACAGACTTAAAAGTAATTGCCATATTACCATGAATTTGAATAAATTGCCTCATAATAAAGAAAAAATTTACCTACAGACATTACTGCAGGGATGTATCTAAAAGTCGAATGCGCTGAATTTTTTCCAAGCACTACACAGATGGTAAAGGAAGTGTCTCTGCGGCATAAAACACAATTCTCTGCTGTGTTTACTTTCATTTTGTCAAGCCGCCTGCAGCATTGGAGCTGCAATAGAAAAGCTGTCAGCCTTTTTTAAGGCAGCTGCTGGCGTCGCCAGAGAGCGTGTTGTGCCAGCTTTGGTAAGGAACAGGAAGGTGCCCAGGTGTATCTTCTCTGAACCGACGCCCAAGAGACCAGAGGACACAAATTCAAGCAAATCTACACATGTATGTAATAACAGCCTTAGCATTAGTAGCTTAGCGGCATCATTTGATTGATTAATAAGATGTCTACTATCATCTACCATCAACAATGATTGTAGCAGACCTTTAAACGTATACAGGAGTGAATGAACAGTCCTCCTCCACCATTATTATTATTATCTGGATCAACATAGCATCTTTAAGAGTTGCAACTTTTTCAGTTTAAGCTCTTTATTTCAATGAGCATCGGATCATTTGAAACCTGATAATAAACATGAAGCTTCCATATGTTCCTGCAATTCATTAACTAGCTTTAAATGTTTTTCAGTTCATTACTTATAAAAATGCCTTAAGGAATACATTCATTCATAACAACAACAAATTTCTGTTAGGTTTGTAAACTTGGTGTCAGACAGTTTAATGTCTTGCTGTGTATTCTGGGATAATGAGTAACACCTACTGCAGCTGAAATAAGTACAAAGACATATTTTCTTTTTATTTTCAGTGAACATATTTGTGATACCTCCATTTATATAGAAATCACACCAGATGTTGCTGACTTCCAGAGTTATCCACAAATACAAACCAATCAGAATAATTTAATCCATGATATGAAATGAAGTGTGACAGCAGATGAAATAAACATTGAACGCATAAAGAACATGGTTAGAGGAAAGCAAAAGAAAACCAAGAAATCACCTAAAATCTGCCAGAACTTA